GCTCTATGAGGCTGCAGGTTGAGCATGTCTGCTCTATGAGGCTGCAGGTTGAGCATGTCTGCTCTATGAGGCTGCAGGTTGAGCATGTCTGCTCTGTGAGGATGCAGGTTGAGCATGTCTGCTCTGTGAGGCTGGAGGTTGATCACGTCTGCTCTGTGAGGCTGCAGGTTGATCACGTCTGCTCTGTGAGGCTGCAGATTGAGCATGTCTGCTCTGTGAGGATGCAGATTGAGCCTGTCTGCTCTGTGAGGATGCAGATTGAGCCTGTCTGCTCTGTGAGGCTGGAGGTTGATCATGACTGCTCTATGAGGCTGGAAGTTGAGCAGGTCTGTCTTGTAAGGCTGGAAGTAGATCATGTCTGCTCTGTGAGCCTGGAAGTAGAGCAGGCCTGCTCTCCTGGACACAACTGGCACAACTCTTTGGCGGGGGTGAGATTAGTGGCTCCAACAGGGCACTTCATATCAGATATTCTCGGGTCTATGATTCTGTAGAAACACCTCAGGTGGATTCCTGGGGTCTGAGTCCAGCAAAGCAATGGTATATTTCTAGGAGGTGTTTTTGTATCCACTACCTTCTTTTAATGTACAGTAGAAACTCCTTCATTGATCAAAGTGTTTTCTACTCTTGGCTGTTGTGTTAGTTACACTCTTTCCCTGGGATTAAAGGATCTGAAGGAAACAGCTTAAGGGGGGAAGGATGGATTTTGGCTCATGACTTGAGAGAGGTTTAATTCCATCAGGGGAGGAACACATGTAGCAGGAGCAGCTCTGTCTGGGCAGAATGAGCATGAGGGGCTGGTGTCTCACACAGCTGCAGACTGGGAAGCCTGCAGTACAGGTAAGGACTCTAGGTGTGTATTATCTTCAAAGGCTTGCTCTTGATGGCCTACTCGTACCAGGCCCCCCCTCCCAAAGGATGCAAATGCAGTATCACCAGCTGAGAACAAGTATTTAAAACATGAACCTGTGGGGAACACTTCAGCCTCTAACTACTACCATGGTGGTCACACTTACAACAATGATGTGTGCAAAGTGATCTAACTACAGTGTCAAGTTCATACCAGATTTCAGAGCTCTACAGGAAGAGATGGGTATCTAACATCTGAGAAAGCAAATTCTAAATCCGCTAAGCCAGTTCACGACAACCCAGAAGTCCCTTCAGGTCCTGAGCCTGTCCAGAAGTCAAAATTAAAGGCTTAGCAAAGAGTCAGGTGATGATTCTCATGCTGCTCTCAGACAGACAGGTGACGGCTCTCACTGCTTCTCTTAGCTGGTTTGTTACTAGCACTAGAGAAACGGAAAACAATACTCATTCTGTATGTATGTAGTACTGAAGACTAAACCCAGGACTTGAAAGGATACTCATAATTTTCAAAGGTTTTCTTTGTTTCATTTCCTGTTGCTATAAGAAAACACCCTGACAGAAGCAACTTTTAGCTCACAAGTCCAGGTCACATCTATCAAAGCAGGAAAGCCTAGGTGGCAGGAACTTAGGGACTCATATCACATGCACAGTTAACAGCACATAGAATTAAATTCATGCATGCATGTTAGTGCTCAGCTGGCTTTCTCCACCAACCCGGGATCCCCTGCCCAGGTAATAATGCTGCTGGTAATGGGTGGGTCTTCTCATCTCAATTAACGTAATCAAGATAATTCCACACAGACCTAAAGGATACAGGTCAACCTAATCTAGACAATACTTCATTGAGACTCCTTTTCCAAGTGATTCTAGATTATGCAGGGTTGACAATTATAACTAACCATTGCAGAGAGGCCAAAAGTGTACTTATAACCATGATTATGGTACTATTTTCATCAATCTGTGCCATGGTTATTCTACATTAACTGGATTTATCAATAAAAAAGAGCCAGAGAAGTCTTTTCCATTTAAAGTAATGAAATTGTAAGCGGGTTGGACAAGACTGAAATCCAATTATTATTCTAAAACTAGTACAGACCCATTTCCTGAAGCAATTATCGGAATGGTTTCTGAATGCTGCCTGACTTTTATTAGGCTACACTACTAAATCCCCATTAGAGCCATCTTGATTTGGTTTTAAACAGGGAGCATTTACACACTGATCCATTTAACGGGCAGCTATTGAACGTCTACTGTTGCCAGAAACTGCTAGGTATCAGGGGTAAGGAGAAGCATTAGATGGAGTTTCTACCCTGAAGACACAGTCTCATAGGAACACAAACAGGTCCACAGATCATGCCAGTGCGATGGACAGTTACCGAGGTAAGTATACAAGGCACCACGCCCAGCTGGATTGTTAAACCAGATCATTTCTTCTATGTATGCAAGCAGGCTACTCGTAGGAACTATCACACTACTGGTAGGCAATGTACATAGCAATGTCATAATAATACCATTTCTGAGCAGAAGAAAACACTAAAAAGCATAAAATCATACCATAAACTGTATAGGACTCTTTTATTATCTTAAGCCATACTTTCAAACATAGCATTTTACATATGTGATAAATTTATTTTTCTTTACATTTTGGTTTGTCGTCTTTCATTTTTAGTGGGGCTAGGAGTTGAACCCAGGCCTATATCATTACTAATTATGCAGTCTATCATGAGATATACTACCTGCTTTCCATATCTTTTTTTGTTTGAAATTTTTGTACAATGAATTTTGATCATATTTATATACCTTCAACCAGGTATGGTCAAGGCTTGGGTCAGCATGTTTTCTGTGAATGAGTAGAATCTTGACATTCCTGGAACTCCCTGCAGGAAAGGAAAAGAGAGCAGTGGAAATTAAAAGAGGAAGGGCTAGAAAGAACTCATGATAGGCCAGGAGCCTGGAAAGAAAGCCAGGTACAGTCAGTGAACAGTGGGGGGTTTTAGGAAGGATGTTAAAGAACAAAGATGCCATTAACACACCTTTGCAGTTTGGGCCATTCTATAGTGGATCTGCCTCAATCACTCATAAGCTTGAATGAAATAATACAGAGCAACTTGTATCTGACGGATTTTAGGAGCACAAAACACAATGACCTGTGGTGAACATTAAGGTCATCATTGGTAGAAGGTACCAACCTTCAACAGAAATGACAACACAGCAGAGGCTTACACTTCAATGCAAAGAGAACATCGAAGCAAGGACCAATTGCAGCGAGTCCCCTGAGAATCCCTGGACTTAAAAGTTTCTGTGTGTGAGTGCTTGGGTATGTTGGAGAAAGTAGCAGACATTGGGGGTCTCTCTCTCTCTCTCTCTCTCTCTCTCTCTCTCTCTCTCTCTCTCTCTCTCTCTCTC